CTTGGCACACCCAGGGCGGGGCGGGTTCGGGCGAGCTGGGAGCAGCTGCTGCAGAAGCCGATTCTCCGCCGGGGAGAAGAGGGGCGGCCTGGAGCGGCCCACGCGCTGCGCCCGGAGTTCGCCCTTCACCTTGGCGGGGGGTGGGGTGGGGGAGGCCGCGACCTTACAAAGCGCCCCCGACCCTGGAGCGACCCCCAGCCCAGCGGCGGCGGGGGCGGCGCTCTGCGAGGCCGCGAGTGTTCAAGTGTTGCCGTCGGCTGAGATTCGGCCGAGCTGGGAAATTCCAGGCGCTCGGAGAGGCTGCCCGGGAAAGGGCTCCTGGGTTTGCGTTTGGTCCGACGCGCGCACGCTCCCTTTTGGTGAACTGAGGCCCCCCGCAGAGGGAGTTTATAAAAGGAGTTGAAGGAGAGGGTGGCGGGGGAGCCAGCTGCCGGACGCGTGTTTTCCTCCTGCCTGCTGGCCCGAGCCGCCCCGGAGGACGCCTCGGCTCCTCGGTTCCCCGAGCTGACGTCCCTGAGGTCACCGGGGCGACACTGGGGCCCCGGCTGTGTTGGTTCGTCGCGAGCGGGGAGACTGCGCCCCAGAGGAGCCTGCCTGGTCCGGGAGGGGCCGAGGCCATTCGTTGCGGGACTGGGGGAAAGGGTCCCTTTAAAGGAAGCCGCGGCTTGGGCGGGCGCGGGCCGAGCCTTTGCCGACGGCTAATCACCCCCCCCCTCCGGGCTGTTTCCTTGGAAACCACCGCTCGAGATAGCGGTGGAATGCCGGGTCCGCACCCCTAATCTGAAACCCTCCGTCGGCGGGACTCCGACGCCCCGGCTAGAGCGGGACGTCCCCTTCTTACTGATACGATGTCAAACAGCCAAGTCCTCCTAGGCTATGATTTTTAGAGCCCAAGGTTTCTCAGTGAGTTAAAACGGTAAATAAGAGAGATTGGTTGCCCCCCACAGGTGCCCTGCCCTAGGCGGGGGATTGAGCCTGCAACCGTTCTTAAGGGACCTGCATGTCCCTTCATAAGAGCCTGGCTTATTTCTAGACTTCTCGCAGCCTCTTTCCCTCCTACCTGCATCAGTATTTGTCCCACCTGCAGGTTCTTCTATTTGCCACAGTCCTGTGTTCAGGGCCTTCCCACATCTTCCCCGTTGCACGGAACTCTCCTATTCATTCCTTGAAACTCAAATTTCCCCTGCTGTAAGCCTCCTCTTTGGAAAAATATTTATTTATTTTTCAATTACAACTGACATACCATATAATATTAGTTTCAGGCGTGCCACATAGTAATTTGACATTTATGTGCCTTACAAAGTGATCGCTGTAAGTCTAGTGACCATCTATCACCATAGGACGTTACGATATTATTGACGGAGTCCCCTACGTTGCACATGACAGCCCCATGGCTTATTTTACAGTCGGAAGTTCGTACCTCTTCACCTCCATCACCCATTCCCTCGCCCCGCGCCCTCTGGCCGCCCTAACCGGTTGCTCTTTGTATCTATGAGTCTGTTTCTGTTTTGTTTCATTTGTTCACTTGTTTTGTTTTTTAGCCTCTACATAAAAGTGAAATCATATGCTATTTGTTTTTCTCTGTCTGACTCATTTTACTAACATAATACCTTCTGGGTCCATTCATGCCATCACAAATGGCAAGATTTTGTCCTAAACTGGGACATTCAGAGGCTCTCGTGTGGGCCTCTACCTCGCTTAGGATGGTTTCCCTGCCTTCTGGAGCCTCAAGATACCTCAGACTCCCATTTCGCGTTTCCTGCTCTTGGAGCAGCTGTTTCTCTTTGCTTCCTGCTTACTCACTCTCCTACCCACTTTCTTTCTTCCTCTCTTTCTTTCTTTTGCATTTTTATAAGTGTTTACTTGAGTCAAACCGATGACCTGCTGGGGAGCGAGATCTCACAGGCTCGCCTCTGAGCCATTTTCTTTGCAGACTGGCCGCCTGCTGATGCTGATCGCCTTCCATGAGGCTGGCTTTTTACAGCTTTTTTTAGTTTTATATTTCAAGCATTCTTCTTAGACTAAAAATCTTGCTTCCTAACGTGAACAGAATCCCTTTGCCCGGTCCTGCAGTGAGTGTGAAATATTTGTAAGAAGCAGCGACAGCGTTTCTCTTAGCGGTTAAGCCACCCGGCGAGCGGCCTGGTTCCCTTTGTTGTCAATAGAAGCTCACGCACTGAGCTGGTCGGGTTCCTCGAAGGAACTTGACGTAACTTTCTGCTCTCGTTGGTTAACCTGCCGCTTTAATATACAGGGCGGGCAAAAGTAGGTTTACAGTTGTTTGTATGGAAAATAATACAATAATTAACAGATAACACAAGGATAAATTTTGTGTTTTGCATACTCACTCTGTATGCGTCATTTATTCCAGGCCCTATTTGCAAATCAGGTCACCTTCAGGGTCCTGGGGGTAAGGATTCAACATCTCTTGGGGAGGGGACATAATTCAACTCCTGAGAGCACCTCAGTGAGCCAAAAAAGGGGGTTTAATTTTAGGACATGGTGACCTTCAAGGATGTGGCATTAAACTTCACCAAGGAGGAGTGGACCCTGCTGGCCCCCGAGCAGAGGAATCTCTACAGAGACGTGATGCTGGAGAACTTCCAGAACCTGGCCTCGGTGGGTGAGGGCGCCCCTCCTGTGCTCCGAGGTGAGTCCCGCGCCTCCCGTGTTCAGGAGGCTGCTGAGAAATGGGAGCCGGCTCGTTAAGCTCCAGAGATGCGGCTGCTGCTGTGGTAGACGTAGGGTTTCCCTATGAAACTGGAAAGCTGGTCTCCGGTGGTCAGGGTGGCCTCTGGCTGGGGACAGTACTCTGTGTCCTCAGTTCAAACAAGAGGCAACAAATAGCAGCAAAAGCAGGCGAGGATTTATTTGCAGAAAAGGAAAACACTCAGGTAAAGTCTGAGTGGGCAGAAACGAAACTAAGTGCCCCCCTCAGCTGGAGGTTTGGGGAATTTATACCCCTAGGCTGGAGTGCTTTCTTTGCTTTCACGGTTGCCTCTCACATGTCCGAGTGAACATTTGAAAAGAAGCCCGCATGGCCCTGGCTGGTGTGGCTCAGTTGGTGGAGCGTCGCCTGCCTCCTGCACCAAAAGGTTGCTGGCTGGGTCTCCAGTAGGGGGCGTGCAAGAGGCAGCTGATGGATGTTTCTCCCTCTCCCTTCCTCTCTGAAATCAATCTTTTAAAAAAATCGTATTTTTTAAAAAAGAAAGGGAAAGAAGCCCACAGGGCCCTTACCTATTCAATCCTCTCAAGCCCCACCTTTACCTTCAACAAATAACCTCGCTTCCCCGCCGCTTCATTCCAGGCGAGGCGGCCCGGCAGCAACCCAGAGCCTCTGCCCCTCAGCGGGACAGCCTCGCTGGAAAGACTTTTCGCGAAGCCCGCAGAGCGTGTCTGGTGAGCAACAGTTGGGGCTCAGGAGGAGACCGCAGAACAGGGGAGCCGCACGAGCAGAGGGGACAGAAAGCGACGCGGGTGGCGGTTGCCCGAGAGAAAGAGGAGTCCCTGGTTCAAGGCTGTGTGTGTCCTGAGACGAGGGAGGGCCCTGAACCGAGCTCAGAGTGTGTGCCTTCACAGGGAGATGCCACAAGAAAACATATCCCCCCAAATACTTTGAAGCAAAATCGAGCCTTTACGAGTCATCACAAAGTCCCTGAAAAGAGCAGGGGCGATGGAGGGTGGGGACAGAGCGCGCAGTCAGCTGCGGGCGCGACAGCTCCAACAGCATCAGAATCACACACGCGGGCTGACGGTCGGGGCCCTGTGCTCCGCACGCATCATGAACCGTACACCGGGGTGAATGTCCATGAATTTGGGGACGTCTTCCCGGAAGACTGTGTCCGTAGGGTGCATGAGACTCACGCTCAGGAGAAAGCTCATGAGTCTAATGAGGGTGGAAACACCTCCCGGAGGAACTGGAGCCCTAGGGTGCAGGTGCGCTCTTACCCAGGAGCGACAGATCATGAGAGCCACCAAAGGGGGCAAAGCTTTGCCCAAGTTCCAAATTCTGCGTCGCACGGGAGCGTGAGGATGGGGGAGAAAAGCTACAAATGTCAAGACTGTAGGAAATCCTATGCTTACCGCTCGTTCTTTGTGAAACACATGAGCCTTCACACTGGAGAGAAGCCCTACGAGTGTAAGAAGTGTGGGCAAGCCTTTCGGTATTCGTTACACCTTCACAAACACTTAGGAAGGCACGTTGCGGAGAAGCCCCATGTGTGCAAGGAATGCGGGAGAGCCTTCCCCAAGGCCTGGCAACTTACCATCCATGCGAGGATTCACACTGGAGAGAGGCCCTACAGATGTAAGGAATGCGGGCGGGGCTACACCAATAATTCATCCCTTAAGAGCCACCTAAAGAAGCACAGCTGAGAGAGACCCTCTGAAGGGAAGGAATGTGAACGCTTCGCTTTTCTCAAAATACTGAGCAAGTGGAGAGGACATTTTGGAAGGGAGCTCAATAAGTGAACAGAGGGAAAAGTCTTTCGTGGATTCCTGTATCTTAGAGCAATGGGAAAATTCACACTGGAAAGAGCCTGTGAAGATAAGGTGCGTGGAAAGCTTTTAACCTTCATTAGTCTTTTTTCCTTAATTGTTGACACTATTACAGATGTCCTCCATTTCCCCCCTTTGCCGCCCTCCATCCAGCC